GGACAGCAGCCATCATCTGACCTGCCGATTGGGGCTCACTAACCCCTGCAGCCACGTGAGTGGGGAGACCTGGGACTTGCCAGCCTCCACCACCACCGTGTGGGCCGTTTCCTTGGGAGTGTGTGAGTTCTGTGAGACATGACAGTGAACTACAGAACCCTAAGATGGGAGGGAGAGCACTGGGAGGGGGGTGGAGTGGATGTCAGAGATGAGGGCATGGCACAGCAGTCTGGGTGAGTTGGACGTTTGGGACGTCATGGGGACCAGACGTGCTGATCTTTCTAAAAGAAGTTATTTAAGCAATGAATATAGTGCATGGAGCTCTGGTTACCATAGTGCCTAACTAAGGCACTTGACTGCTAACCAGAAGGCTGGCGGTTGAAACCCACCAGCCACTCCTCAGAAGGAAGGTTGGGCAATCTACTTCTGGAGCTCTACCGCCTCGGAAACCCAAGGAGGGGTTGTTATGAGTCAGATCCACTTCGATGGCAATGAGTTTAGTTTATTTTTTATCTAGAGAGTGAACCTCCCTCCTACTTCCCTGGTTACCACTAAGGAGCATTATTTTCTGTGCTTTCGCCTGTTCGTGTCATTTCATCAGTGTCAGAAGATAAAATATTTGTCTTTTTGTCATGGACTTTTGTCATCCACATGATGTTCTCCTGCTTCCTCCATGTTCCAACATGTTTTGGGAACTCATTTTTCTTTATGGCTGAGTAGTTTCCATTCTATGTAGGTACAACGTTTTTACTCATCCATTCGTCTGCTGATGGGCACTTAGGTTTTTTCTACCTTTTTGCTGTTGTGAATAGTGCTACAATGAACATGGTTGTGTGTATGTCTGTCTGTGTCACTTCTATTGTGTCTTGGTTGTTAGTGCTGCTATGGCAGACATACCACAGGGAGTGACTTTAACAAACAGGAGTTATTCTCCTACAGTTGAGGAGGCTAAAAGTCTGAGTTCAGAGCCCCGTGCTCTAAGAGCTGGGTGAAGACCCTTCGACCTTGGGCATCAGCTCTGCCTCTTGTTCCAGGCCCACTGGAGCTACAGGCTTCTCAAAACTCACGCAGCTGCTGGCTGCTAAGGCTGATGAACCCAAGGTCATCAAATAGAATGACACAGTCCCAAGATCAACAGGCACATGGCGGGCCATCATTTCAAGTCCAGGAACTGGAGCTGAAGACGGCCAAATGGAGGATCTGAAACGTGCCTACGAGCTAGAGACCTTTCCCAAAGCTCTTCCCTATACAGTGGTGGCAGCCACACCCAAAAGGCACCTTTCTTTCCACTGATTCATGTCTCCCAGCAGATTCCACCATGGAGGTGATTACAGTCTCCTCATGGGGAATGATTACATCCCACTGCCCAGCCACTCAGAACCACAGCTCGGCGAACTTGACACACAACATTAACTACCACATGTTAGATCCTCTCGTGGTTATCTAGTGCTGCTGGAACAGAAATACCAAAAGGGGGTGGTTTTTATGAACAGAATTTTTTTTTTTTTTTGCAGCAGTGTAGGGGGCTAGAAGTGAGACTTCAGCGTGCTGGCTCTAAGGGAAGCCCATCTCTCTAGGAAGGCCCTTGTCCTCTAAGCTTCTGCTTCTGGGTAGTCTTCAAGGAGCTTGCCATCTCTTCCCTCATCTCTGCTTCTATACTGGCTCGTTTAATCTCTTTGCGGTCTCAAAAGAGACTATGGCAAGATACACAAGACACTAATCCTGTCTCATTAACATAACAAAGACAACCCATTCCTAAATGGAATTACTCCCATAGTCGTAGAGGTTGGGCTTTACAACACATATTTTAGGGGACACAATTCAACCCATCACAGGGTACACACAGAGGAGCGGAATTGCTGGGTCATTGCAGCTCTACCTTCAGTTTTCTGAGGAATGTCTGCACTGTTTTCCACAATGGCTGTACCATTTCATGTTCCCACCAGCAGTGGAGGAGGGTTCCAGTTTCTCCACATCCCTCCAACGTGTATTATTTTTTGTTTTTATTTTGTTTTATGTTTTTTACATATCTGAACCACCCTTGTTGTTTGTTGTTGTTATTTGCCATCAAGTTGGACTTGACTCATAGCAACCCATCCTTGGGTTTCTGAGGTGGTATCACTATGGAAGTAGATTGCCCAACCTTCCTTCTGAGGAGTGGCTGGTGGGTTTCAACCGCCAGCCTTCTGGTTAGCAGTCAAATGCCTTAGGCACTACGCTACCAGAACAACCACCCTAGTGAGAGTGAAATGGTTTTCACCTGTCTTTTCTGATTGAACCTCTTTTCATGTATCTGTTGGCCCCTGGAATATCCTCTTTGCTAAAGTGTCTGTTCATGTCCTTTGCCCCATCTCTGGTTGGGTTATTTATCTTTTTGTTGTTAAGTTGTAGACATTTTCTCTATATTTCAGAGACTAGACCCTATGGATTGAGTGTTCCCACAGATGTTTTTCGCAGTCCGTAGGTTGCCACATCATCTTCATGTTATTTTTGTTGTTATGTGCCATCGAGTTGTCTCTGACTCATAGCGACCCCTCCTTGGGTTTCCGAGGCAGTGTCACTACAGAAATAGATTGCCCCATCTACCTTCCGAGGAGTGGCTGGTGGGTTTGAACCGCCAGCCTTCTGGTTAGCAGTCTAGTGCCTTAGGCACTGTGCCATATCAGGTACCATCAAGTTGTTTTCTTCTCACAGGAATCCCATGTACAATGGAACGAAACACTTCCCGGTCCTACATAAACCTCATAATCATTGCTCTGCTTGAGCCCATTGTCACAGCCACTGTGTCAATCCATCTCTTTATGATTTTGATACCACTGTAAAATAAAAAAAAAGTATATGATGTCAATCTGATATCAGAGATAGTGCAAAATGTGCCCTTAGAGTCAGTGGAATGTGTTAACAGCATTGATGGTATCAGAGTGCATCGTGTATAGTGCAGGTACTGTTTCACAAAACGTGTACATCTGTGTCTACACAAATATCTGTCTGTATCCTCTGTATCTATGTCATCAACGCCAGTCTACACACACACACACGGGTTACATTTGTCCTCACATGGTAATTTTAATCATTTCAATTTAGCATTGATTTACATTCTTGGAGAACCTATAATTGGTGGATTAGACTCTGTTGCACACGACAGTTCCCATACTAACAACAGCTACTATTCATTTATTTAACAAAGATTTAGCACCTACTGTCTACTCTAGAAGGAGCTCTGGTGGTGCTGTGGTTAAAGCATTGGGCTGCTAACTGAAAGGTAAGCAGTTCAAACCCACCAGTTGCTCTTTGGGAGAAAGATGTGGCAATCTACTTCTGTGAAGATTGACAGCCTTGGAGACCCTGTGGTGCATGCACTTCCACTCTGTCCTCTAGGGGCGCTGTGAGTCAGAATGGACTCCATGGCAGTGGGTGTGGTTTGGGCTTTGCTTGTGTGAAGATTGACAGCCTTGGAGACCCTGTGGGCAGTTCCACTCTGTCCTCTAGGGGCGCTGTGAGTCAGAATGGACTCCAGGCAGTGGGTGGAGTTTGGGCTTTGCTTCTGTGAAGACTGACAGCCTTGGAGACTCGGTGGGGCAGTTCCATTCTACCCTCTAGGGGCGCTGTGGGTCGGAATCGAGTTCATGGCAGTGGACGTGGTTGGAGCTTTGCTTTTGTGAAGATTGACAGCCTTGGAGACCCTGTGGGGTAGCTCCACTCTGTCCTCTAGGGGCGCTGTGGGTTGGAATGGACTCAGTGGCAGTGGGTGTGGTTTGGTTTGGTTTGGTTTCAATAAGAGGTTGGAGTGCCCAGGTAGTGTAAATGGTTAAGGTACTCAGCTGTTAACAAGTCTACCCCGAGGCACGCAGAAGAAACGTCTGGGGGTGTACTTGTGAAAAAACAACCAGTGACAGCTCTATGGAGCACAGTTCTACTCTGCAACACACATGGGGTCTCCATGAGTCAGGGTCAACTTGACAAGGACAACTGGTGCAGTAAGAGGTTGAGTCAGGCTTAAAGCCTTGGTTTATCTGATTCTAGGCTGGGACTCTGAGCTTCTGATTGTGGTCCAAGCTCTATAAAATGCTAGCATTACCAGGAGAAAGCCACCAAGAGGGGAACACTCGTAATTTACACAGCCCATGCCCACTGCAGTACAGGGTCCCAGACTGTCAGGGTCTCATCCAGCCCCAACCCTTCACCAACTAGTTACCCATATTTCCAACTTTATCTCTCCACCCATGCAGTCTCAGAATACAAACTAACCACTCAAGGTACCCTCTTGCAGATCTAGGTACAGAGCTAGGTGAGCACTTGGAAAACAAGATTTAAGTAGGCACACATCATACAGCTAAGTGTGGGTGCCTCCCTAAACTGTGTACCCTAAATTAGACATCACATCCACCTCATCCTAATACTAGGCATATCCTTTAAAATAGCTAAGAGTTGCTTCCAGATCATACCAAAACCAAACCCAAACCCATTGCCTGGGAGTTGATTCTGACCCACAGCACCCCTAGAGGACAGAATGGAACTGCACCACAGGGTCTCCAAGGCTGTCAGTCTTCACAGAAGCAGAGCCCAAACCACACCCTTAATTCCAATTCACAGCACCCCTGGAAGACAGCATGGAACTGCCCACAGGATTTCCAAGGCTGTCAATTTTTATGGAAGTAGTTTGTCTCATCTTTCTCCCATGGAGTGGCTGGTGGGTTAAAACTGCCAACCTCTTGATTAGCAGCTCAGCGCTTTAACCACTACACCATGAGAGTGCCAGCCTCTTACTACCTCAGATTGCTTGAGCCTGTTTTCGCACATGTAAAATAGGGATGCTGATAGTCATTTATCTCTTTGGGGGGAGGATTAAATAAAGCAATGATTCTGTCTTTCCAAAGAAATACTGACTGGATGTCCTGTGGTTGGTTGTACCTAGGTGGCAATTTATGTAAAAGAAAGCCCAGGAAGTTGAAGGGGCCACTTCCTTCAATCAAAAAAAAAAAAAAAAAAAAAAATCCAACATGGCAGCTCTCTCCTTGCGTGAGAAAGAACATGAGCCAGAAGCACGGAAACGTGTGCGAGAAGCCAAAGGTGGGGACTGTGATGGTGAGGACGCTGAGCTGATTTTCGTCAGGGTGTATCATGTTGATAAAGATGCTGACATTCACTCTGTGCAGGGGATTTCCAATCCAAAACCAGTCATTTCAAACATTTTGAACAGAACCGTCCCAGGTCCATACTCAAAAAGAAAGAGAGGCTACCCCAGTCAAGGTTCTCGTCACACATGGCAGCCTGAGAATCACGGAACCTTTATGTCCAAAGAGGTGGCCTCCTTGCCAGATTCTCAAGCTGGATTGAGAGCCACAGATGATCCTGTTACCAGTTTTTCCTCCCCACGGGGTCACAGAAGGAGCTTCCCCCAGTCCATGTCTCAGAATTCCTCAGATCTGCTCTCCTGGATTCAGCCTGTGGTTGGCACTGCTCTTTCTGTAGATGGTGCAGGTGAGAGTGCTCCCGGTGCAAAACGATGTTCCACTTCAGATGTGAACAGTAGAAATGGAAACCCATCAGCGGTCTCTCCTACACTGAACTCGAGTACACCCTCAGATGTTCACACCTCATCAAGTCTGGGTCAGAATGAAGCATCGTTTCCTCGGGCCTGCACAAACGATAAGACATATTTGAATCTTAGGAATCCCACCACAGAAAATAGCTTTAGAAGACTGGTGGACATAGAGTTTTCAAGACAAGCAAGTCAGCACAAGACCACTAACTCCCAGAAAGGAATTCCGGTCGTGTTACTTCGTGACTTCTACTACGGACACCATGACGGACATGGGCAGCCTGAACAGAAGACTCACACGACCTTTAAATGCTTCAGCTGCATGAAGGTCCTAAAGAACGTCAGGTTCATGAACCACATGAAGCACCATTTGGAACTTGAGAGGCAGAGGGGGGACAGCTGGGACAGCCACACCATCTGCCAGCACTGCCATCGGCAGTTCCCCACTCCCTTCCAGCTGCAGCGCCACATCGAGTGTGTGCACATCCTCCAGGAGCCGTCTGCTGTGTGTAAGATCTGTGAGCTGGCGTTCGACACGGACCAGGCTCTCCTACAACATATGAAGGACACTCACAAGCCTGGAGAAATGCCCTACGTGTGTCAGGTTTGTAATTACCGGTCGTCTGCCTTTGCTGAGGTGGACAGCCACTTCAGAACCTGCCATGAGAACACAAAGAGCTTGCTCTGTCCGTTCTGCCTCAAGGTTTTCAAAACAGCAAACCCGTACATGAATCATTGTTGGAGTCACTGGAAGAAGAGGGTCTTTCAGTGTTCCAAATGCCGCCTCCAGTTCTTGTCCTTGAAGGAGAAAATGGGGCATGAAACTAAGAACCACCAAACGTTCAAAAAGCCAGAGCAACTGAACAGGTTGCCTCTAGCAACCTGGGTTATTAATCAAACTTCAGATCAATGAGGATCAAGAGATGCAACATCCACTACTGTGAGCAACAGTGACCCTGGCTGTCACGTGTTGGAACTGAAGAGAGTAGCTCTGAGGACTAGATTTTCCTGACTCCCTTGCAGCTAGAGTTCTGGCTGAAAGTTCTGTTCTACCAGCTCACAGGAACTCTGAAAGCAGAGTTGAGGCTAGGCCATCTGCATATTTTGGCTTCAGATTCTAATGAGCAATCTTATCTCACGTAGGGTTTCCCAGTGACACTTCTGTGTCTACGTAGCGTAAAGAAGTAGCCCAAAACTCTGTTTTGCCCCTTCCTAGTCAACCCACCCCCTACTATTCTGACTGATATGGGCATGGAATACTTTTGTTGCCTGCTTTGAACTTGAAATAAATGAAATCACACTACAGGTTTCTTGACTCTGACTTCTTTTAAATGTCTGAGATGCATCCTTCTCAGGTGTAGCAGGAAAGCATTCTTTTTCATTGTTGGATGGCATCCCATTGAACAATTACAGCAGTTTATATATCCATTTTCCCTTGAGGCTGATTCTTTTGCTACTTTGAATGAAACTGCTATAGATGTTTTGTGCATGTCTTTTGCTGTGTGTCTGTACTAATTTCATAGCTATAGGATGAATGCTAGAATGGAAGAAGACTACCTCATCTTCCACAGAGAAGCTGGATTGAAACCACTGATCTTTTGGTTAGCAGCCAAATATTTTGACCACTGGACCACCAGAGCTCTTTTAAAATTACCAAGGCCATGAAAAGTAAAGAAAGTCTGATCAAGAGTCCTAGACTAGAAGATGCTATGGAGACTTGATGACTAAATGCAGTGTGGGACACTCAGGTCATCACAGCATTGTGCACTGTGGTGGTTATGTTTGTGTGTCAACTTGGTTAGGCCTGGTTGAGAGGCTGGGCAGCTGGATGTAGTAGCATTCCCCATGATGAGACTGGTAATCAACTCCATGGTGGAATCTACTATGAGCAGCTGAGTAGCTGCCTTTGGGGTGTGGACTGCTTCCTGCATATAAGGAGAAGTTTTGAGAATGGTCTCTAGCCTATGGCACACTTGGACCCTGCATGTAGCTGTGTCATTGCTCAGCAGCCTGCTATGCTCTGCCAACCTTGGGACTTACAATGGACTTAAGTTAATGGCCTGCCGTGTGGTTTGGTAACATCGGGACTGTGCCTTTTTACTTGTCCACCTTGGGGCTGCTCAGCCTCAGCAGCCAGCAGCTGTCTGAGTGAAGAAATGCTTCTAGCTCCAATAGGCCGGGAATAGGAGGCAGAGCTGGACCCCAAGGTTGAGGGGTTTTCACCCAGCCCCTAGAGCCTGGCACTTTGAACTTGAACTTAAAGCCTCCAAATTGTAAGAATAAACTCCTGTGTGTTAAGGCCATCCCATTTGTGGTATATTCTTGTCAGAGCGGCACTAGGTAACCAGAACAAGAAGAACGCCCAAACTAAATGCCCATCCTTCATTAGTTTGGAGCAACCAGGTGCCCATCCACAGAGGAATGGGTCAACCAGGTGCCCATCCACAGAGAGACAAGTCAACCAGGTGCCCATCTGTGGAGGGATGGGTCAATCAGTTGCCCATCTGTGGAGGGATGGGTCAACCAAGTGCCTGTCCACAGAGGGATGGGTCAACCAGGTGCCCGTCCATGGGGGGATGGGTCAACCAAGTGCCTGTCCACAGAGAGATGGGTCAACCAATGTCCGTCCACAGAGGGATGGGTCAACCAGGTGCCCATCCACAGAGGGATGGAGTGACCAACTGGGGTCCTTAGGAGCAATTGAATACTAGACAATGTAGAAGAACAAGGATGAATCTGTAAAACATCTCATGATGTGGATGTACTTAGAGGCCATGATGCTGAGTGAAATTAGTCAGTCACAAAAAAAGGCAAATGTTGTATGAGATCATTGTTGTAAAAATTCAAGAAAAAGGTTTTCACATAAAAAGAAATATTCTTTGATGGTTACCAGTGGTGGGTGGGGAAGGAAGGGTAAACCATTAACTAGAGGGTCAAAAAAAATAAAAAATAAAACCATTGCCATTGAACTGATTCCAACTCATAGCAACCACCATTGGGTTTCCAAGGCTATAAAGCTTTACAGAAGCAGACTGTCCCATCTTTCTTGCACAGAGTGGCTGTTGAGTTCAAACCTCTGACTTTAACAGCCAAATGTCTTAACCAGTACACCACCAGAGTTCCTTAACTAGAAGGTAGACACGTATTAACTAAAGTGAAGGGAAAGCAATGAATGAATGGATGAATGGATGCAACATGGTGAACTGGCTGGAAGAAGCCCTTGAGTGCAGTGGTTTAGTGCGCAGCTGCTGACTGAAAGATCAGCAGTTTGGACCCATCGGCGGCTCTGTGGAAGAAAGGACTTAGCAATGTGCCTCTTTAAAGAAACTCCATGGAGGCAGTCCTACTCTGTCCCACAAGGTCGCTGTGAGTCAGAACAGATTTCACAGCAGACAACAACAACCTGGGATGGAATCCAGGAGCAGAAACAGGACACCAGTGGGAAAACTAGTGAACCTGTGTAACGCCAGGAGTTTAGTTAATAGTTAGGTACCAGTGTTGGATGATTTCCCCCCTGGTGGTGCAATGGTTAAAGCACTTGGCTGCAGCACTTGTAACCCTCCAGATGCTCTATGGGAGAAAGATGAGGCAGTCAGCTTTCGTAAAGATTGACAGCCTTGGAGACCCTGTGGGGCAGTTCCACTCTGTCCTCTAGGGGCGCTATGGGTCAGAATCAACTCCACAGCAGTGGGTGTGATTTGGGCTTTGCTTCCATAAAGATTGACAGCTTTGGAGACCCTGTGGAGCAGTTTTGCTCTGAGTTCATTGAGTTGGAATCAACTCAATGGCAGTGGGTTTGGTTTTTTTGTTTTTTCTTGTGCCTAAAAGCAAATCATTAGGGAGAATATGAAATACTTGGAATTGAATGCCAGTGAACATATTGTGGGGCCAAAACTGGGAGACAGTTTAGTCAGAAGTTAAGGGAAATTTATAGCATTAAATAAAGTAGAGAGGTTTCAAGAAATGAGGTAGGCATTCATTTTTAAGAAGCAAAGAGGATCAAGAGAGCAAACTTACGGAGACAGGAAAAAAGAGAATACTAAAGTGTGGAGGAAATACATGAAAGAGAGGAGAAAATAACAGAAGAGGGAACTGGAAGCTGGTTCTTTCAGAAGTTCAGGAAGACAAATGCCAGGCAGAACTGGCCATAGGAAAAGATTGATCCACTGAGGAATGGATAAGCAAAATGTGGTCCACAGACACAATAGAATAAAACTCTGCCATCAGAGAAATGAAGTCCTGGTGCATGCTACCACATGGATGAACCTTGAAAACATCATGCTGAGTGAAAGAAGTCTGTCATGAAAGGAGGACGTATATGATGTGACCCCACTAACAGGAGATATTTAGACTAGGCAGGTGTATAGAGACCTGTGTTAGACTGAGTTCTCTAGAGAAACAAAACCAGTAAAGCTTATAGAGAGAGAGAAAGAGAAATTTATCTTAGGAAAATGGCTTGCACACTTATGTTGTTGTTGTTATGTGCCCTTGATTCGTCTCCGACTCATAGCAACCCCTCCTTGGGTTTCCAAGGCAGTATCACTATGAAGTAGATTGCCCAACCTTCCTTCTGAGGAGTGGCTGGTGGGTTTGAACCGCCAGCCTTCTGGTGAGCAGTCAAATGCCTTAGATTCTATGTTACCAGAGCTCCTTATAGAAGCTGGCAAGTCCAAAGTTCTTGGATCAAACATCAAGCTGGAGGCTTTTCCTGACTCTCACAGCTGCAGGGGCTGAGGAGCTCAAGGTTGGCAGGCAGTATCCTGGCTGTTGACTCTAACGAACGACGAATCCAAGATCTCCAGGCCGAATGGTGGATTGTTTGCTCACGGACAGTTGTAGGCAGCACAACAGGATCCTGATCCTCAGAAGAGTGTCTCTTCCCAGGATGTCCATAGATACACTGGAAGCAGGCCACACCCCTAGGGAGACACACTTCCAATGGATTGGCTGCTCAAAACATACAGATCTGATCCCATCATTTGGAACAACCCACATCACAATTGCTTAAACCACACAGAATTGTGGTTCAGCCAAGTTGACACACAGCTCCAACGATCACAAGACCCAAGTTTATTAGTAGGGGTGGGCAGGCAGGAGTGGAACACTGACCTGCTGCTAAGGGTGATGGGAAAATTTGGGAGTGACTAAAGGTGCTGGTCGAACCATACGGTGAACGTAACTGATGTCGGTGAATGGCACATGGGAAGATTGTGGGAATTGCAAATGTGTTGTTACTTCTGTATTTACAATAACAATAAGTTAGGAAAAGGAAAAATGAAGAGGCACCTAAACCAGGGGTCAGCAAAGTTTCATAAAGGGACAGATAGTAAATACTTTCATCTTCGCCAGCATTAGCCCAAACCCACTGCCTCTGACTTGATTCTAATAGTGCCCCTAGAGGACAGACTAGGACTACCCCATAGGTTTCCAAAGCTGTAAATCTTCACCGAAGCATAGCCCAAACCAAACCCACTGCCACTGAGTCACAGCACCCCTAGAGGACAGAGGGGAACTGCTCTAGAGAGTTTTCAAGGAGAAGACTGCCTCATCTTTCTCCCTTGGAGTGGGTTTGAATCGCTGACCGTTTGGTTAGCAGCCCAATGCTTTAACTACTGTCCCACTGCAGCCCCTTTGCCAGCCTTGAGGCCTGGTGGAAGTTAATGAGCTCTGCTGTAGCCAGAGAGTAACCACAGAAAACCCCTAAATGTGTGAGTGTGACTATATTCCAATAACCACCACTTATCTGCCAGTTTGTGGCCCTGTGGTGGCTCGACTGTGGCTGTGATACTGGAAGAAACGTCATGCCACTCTGAAGACTAAGGTGCACTTGCCCCAAGCCGTGACATCATCAATCACCTCCAGCATGTGGAAGCTGATCAATGAATAAGGAAGACTGAAGAAGGAGGTCTGGTGGTGTAGTGGATAAGGCATTTGGCTGCTAACCAGAAGGTCAGTGGTTCAAACCCACCAGCCATTCTGTGGAAGGAAGATAGAGCAGTCTACTTCCATAAAGTTTTAAAGTCTTGGAAACCCAATGGGGGTCGCCATGAGTTGGAATTGACTTTATGGCAGTGAGTTTAGTTTAGAGTTTGAAGAAGAATTCATACACTTGAATTGCAGTGTTGACAAAGAATATTGAATATACTATGGACTGCCAGAAGAACAGGGAGCTCCGGTAACCATGTGGGTAAGGCATTTGGCTGCCAACCAGAAGGCTGGCAGTTGAAACCCACCAGCTGCTCCTTGGGGGAGAGATGAAGCAATCTACTGCCATAAAGATTTACAGCCTTGGATACCCTATGGGGGTTGCTATGGGTTGGAATTGACTCAATGTCAACCCCACCCCCCCGAGAGAAAAATGAACAAATCTGTCCTGGAAGAAGTGTAGTCTGAATGCTCCTTAGAAGCGAGAATGGCCACACTTCATCTCTCGTACTTGGGTCATATTGTCAGAAGGGACCAATCCCTGGAGAAAGACATCATTCTTGGCAAAGCAGAACCAGGAAAAAAAAAAAAAAAACAACCTCACTGCTGTCTAGTTGGATCTGACTCATAGTGACCCCTCCTTGGGTTTCCAAGGTGGTATTGATCGCTATGGAAGTAGCTTGTCCAACCTTCCTTCTGAGGAGCGGCTGGTGGGTTTGAACTGTCAGCCTTCTGGTTAGCAGTCCAACAAAACAGAAGATCAACAAAAGAGAGGAAGACCCTCAGTGAGACGGAGTGACAGGTGGTTTACATTTGTCTGTCAACTTGGCTGGGCCTGGTTGAGTGGCTGGGCAGCTGAACATATTCCCCATGGTGAGATTAGTGATTAATTCCATGGTGGAATCTTTTGGAACAGCTGAGCTGCTTTGGATACGTGGTCTGCTTCATATACATAAGAAACAGTTTGGGGAATGGTCTCCAGCTTATGGCACGCTTGGACCCTGCATGTAGCCGTGTCATTGTTCAGCAGCCTGCCATGCTCTGCTGACCTTGGGACTTACAATGGACTTGAATTAATGGCCTACCATGTGGTTGGGTAACATCAGGACTGTGCCATTTGATTTGTCAACCTTGGGCCAAGCCTCAGCAGCCAGTAGCTGCCTGAGTGAAGAGATACGCCTGGCTTCAGTGGGCCAGAAGCAAGAGGCAGAGCTGCAACCCAGGGTTGAGGAGTTTTCACACAGCCCCTAGGGCCTGGCACTTTGAACTTGGACTTAAAGCCTCCAAATTATAAGAATAAACTCCTGTTTGTTCAAGCCATCCCATTTGTGATATATTCTTGTCAAAGTGGCACTAGGGAACTAGAACAGAATTTGGTACCGAGAGTGGGGTGCTGCTCTGACAGATACCTGAAATGTGGAAAAAGGAGTGGAGTGAGTCCTTGACCTGAGACCCTGGCAGAGAGACCTTGGCATATGGCATGACAGACGGCAGGAGCAGAGCCAAGAGACCGGCATTAAACAGAGACAGCCTTACCAGCCCACGTAGGAGAAAGCCGGTGCCATTGTACAGGCCACTTACTGGCAGAGTGGGTTGCCTTCAGGCATTAATTGGTGAAGAGACTGGCATGAAATGGAGTAGCATGTTGGCCGGCCCACGGAGCAAGAGGCAGAGCTGAAGCCCAAGGTTGAGGGGCTTTCACCCAGTCCGTAGAGACTGGCACTTTGAACTAGGACTTCTAGCCTCCAAACTATAGGAGAATAAACTCCTGTTTGTTCAAGCCATCCCATTTGTGGTATATTCCTGTCAGGGCAGGTAATCAGAACACACAGTGACTGCAGTGCTTTGTTCTGTTATACAAAGGGCTGCTATGAGTTGGAATCAATTCTATGGCAGCTAACAGCAATATATCTGGGGTGGAAATGCAACTTTTCAGCAAGGCGTCGAACTGGAATTACCTGGTTTGAACCACGTGGGCCACTCAGGGACTCTGCAGTTATAAGACAGTGATGGGTTTCTATCACAGGAAACCACATGGGGCATGCCCTGGAGGGCCATTTACGTACAAACCTTACTGAGAGGCTGTAGGGTGAAATAGGAAAGACCTTGTTAGAAACTGGGTGAAAGATAAAGGAGGAGGAATGTATGGATGCCAAGGCAGCCAACCATGCAGGCTATAAACTGGCCTTATGGCAGGGCCCTGAACATAGGTGCATGGGCCAGCCACAGAGTCAAGTTCCTTGAGCATGGAGCAGGGAGCTGGGGTGGCTGTGGAAAGGGCCCACGCCTGAGGATAATGACCGCTGCCCCGGGGAGGTCAGATATATCCCTGAACCTCTCTGGAAGCTCTGGAACTGGGGCGCCCCAGACTCTTCCGGGGGTTCCTTCCCTACCTCCCCCACCTTCCCCACTCCCCCTTCCTGCAGCCCGACGCTGCAAGCGCCAACAGTCGCCGCTAGGGGCGCTCAGGTGCGCGCATGCGCCCCACGGCCCCCACAGGGCTCGAGGCCTGTGGCTCAGCAGCCAATCAGAGTCCGCAGCGGGCGCGCGTGCGGATTAAGCGGCTACAGTGGAGGCGGGGGCGGCAGCGGCGGCGCCTGGGCCTGAGGAGGCGTCGTCGCCACGGCTTTGCCCTGAGCGCCTCGGCCCCGCAGCGCCGCCGGGAGCCCGGGGACTCCGCGGCCGGCCGGTAAGGACCTGTGCGGGCAGCCCCGAGGGAGGCTGGCGGCCCGGCGTTCCCGGCTCCCCCTCAACGGGCGCCTGGTCCCCGCGGGCCTCCCCTCCCCCCACGAGGTCGCCCACTGGGGACCCGCGCGCCCGAGTCCTGGCGTTTTTCGGGCTCAGAGCCCTTAGTGCGGTTTTCCCTTTTCCCATCACGTGTGGCTCTCTGTCCACCGCAAGTGGGTCCCACTCACTGCGTGCCTGCCCGGCTCTGATGCAACCGGCTGAGCTCCTGGACCAGGCTGGCCCGGTGGCCTCCAGGCGTGGGATGCGGGTGGCTCACAGCTCGGGGGTTGCTTTTCTGAGGCGGCTCCTTTGGAAGAACAGGTTCTTTTGGGGGGGGGGGTAATACAGGCGCACCTCGTTTGTATTGCGCTTCGCCTTATGGCGCTCCCCAGTACCGTGTTCTTTACAGAGTGCAGGTTGGGGCCACGAGGCGGTCTGCCAGGTGTCGTTTTTCCGACAGCTTTCGTGCGTCTGTTCCCCATTTTGGCCATTCGCACATTTCAAACTTTTTCGTCATGCATTTGCACACTTAATAGCCTACTTAAGAAAAATAAAATAAAATAAAAAATAAAACACCACTTCCATGGAGTCTGTTCCAACCCAGAGCTGCCTTAGAGGACAGAGTGGATCTGCCCCAGAGGGTCTCCAGGACTGTCATCTTTAGGGAAGCAAAGTCCTAGCCAAACCCACTGCAGTGGAGTCCATTCCGACCCACAGCGCCCCTAGAGGACAGAGTGGAACTGCCCACAGGGTCTCCAAGGCTGTCAATCTTCACAGAAGCAAAGCCCAAACCACACCCACT